GTGTTGGGATGTCGGCCAGACATAATTAGGGGTCTGTAATATATGTCAATGTTGACAGGAGCGCACGTACTCTACCCCGTAGAGTTGTATGTATATACAATGTGTTTGCTTAATGTCAAATGACAAATAAAGCAGGCTATATATGGTTTTTATAGATTTTTCACATTTATCAACACTAGTCAGCCATGTATTTAGGATAACGCTTCCTTGCATTTCCTCTTTAATAACAAACAAATCACATTTAACTGATATCTTTATATATTTGGTAAATTCTGCAACGTTCCGACCGGTCATACTCTCCAAATATGTGTTTTTGTTGTAACGTCGAATTTTTTGACATGTCAAAGTCTAAGAGTATGTATACATTTTGTCTGCCATTAAGTTGTATGTATTTGGCACTGCTTGTTAACTAAAAAAATTGACCACAATCTTTACCCACTCATAAAACAACTTGTGAAGGAACATTACATACCCCCATCCCCTCCACTTCTCGCTCTCTCACTAATCAGGGTGGGTTCTGTTTCTTTTCTTAATCAAGCGCCAGCAGGTTTGAAACCATCCGTACACTTGATGTAAAACATATGCATATCAAACATGGATTGTCCTGGTTTTTTAGTGAACGAAACAAAAACTTCCATTGTTTGGCCTATATGGTGGGTATTTTCCATGCTACTACCCAACACTTGTTTTACCGTTCACAACACACCTGTATAACAAATCATTTTTATTCTCAAAAAAATGTGGTATCGAGAATTAATACAGCACACATATATATAATGTTTTAAGAACAATTGTAAAGTAAAATGACTGGAGTGCATTCACCACCAACATGGCCTCCATATTGCTACTTAAATAGAATCGGAACACAGATACTTCTATTGGATGGAAAATTTGTTGATTTATAATCGAATGAGGAAATTAAATTTCAACATTCATGCAGGTGTACCTAATTTTTCCTAAAATCACAGCGTTGGCGAGATAGATGTAAAAAAAGGTACTTCCCTTTCAACATTGGCTTTAGTGGTTTTACAGTACAATAACATTACCAGGTCGTACCAGTGTCTGAATGACGAGTATTCCGTCATAATCTCCGCTGTACTGTTTCGACAAATTGCTAAATTCCGAAATAACTTTCATGTGTCAATGAAAGATTTCGGAATCACGAGCTTTATTTTGCCGATAAAGTAATATATTTTACGCGGGGTTGTTGACATATTGTGTTTATTAGAGAGATTCAGTTTCAACACTTTTTAAATCGCCGCATTTTTCAGGATAATAATTTGAGACAAATCAAAGTAGATCTGATCATCTTATGAAAAGAAATATCAAAACGGACTTTGAAAATATTACCTTTGAGATATAAAGGATTTCAAACTATAAAGCTGGACATCGAAAATATTTAAATACCGCGCATGTTTTCGGCGTGAGTAAGTCTGCTGGTCGAGGTAGGCTAGATAACACAGGTAAATAACGTGGCGACTCTAACTATGTTATATGTACCGTACATATCTGGTCCCCCAGTCTGTATACAGAAAAAGGAGCCAAAATCTCTTTACAAATCCACGGTCCTTTTTACAATAATACTCGGCGTCTTTACTAAAAACTGTTTCAGCCTATCCAAAATTAAGGGCTAAAGTCGTTCTAGTATAACCGATGTCTGTCTCTACTCCTACCCTATATCATAAAGAATCTCTACTCCTACCCTATATCATAAAGAATCTCTACTCCTACCCTATATCATAAAGAATCTCTACTCCTACCCTATATCATAAAGAATCTCTACTCCTACCCTATATCATAAAGAATCTCTACTCCTATCCTATATCATAAAGAATCTCTACTCCTACCCTATATCATAAAGAATCTCTACTCCTACCCTATATCATAAAGAATCTCTACTCCTACCCTATATCTATATCATAAAGAATCTCTATCCTACCCTATATCATAAAGAATCTCTACTCCTACCCTATATCATAAAGAATCTCTACTCCTACCCTATATCATAAAGAATCTCTACTCCTACCCTACATCATAAAGAATCTCTACTCCTACCCTACATCATAAAGAATCTCTACTCCTACCCTATATCATAAAGAATCTCTACTCCTACCCTATATCATAAAGAATCTCTACTCCTACCCTACATCATAAAGAATCTCTATCCATTTAGGGCTTCAGTCATCCCTACTTCTGTCACACCAAAGTATCTAATTCGTCCAACGGTGGGGACCAAAATTATCCCCTACCCTACATACCAAAGTATGTAAATCCGCCCGACTAAAGTATTTATCTCAGTTTGTCCCATATCAGGGACACACACACCCTACCCTTACCCTAATTACGACAACTTAATTTGTCACTGGCACAGACCTTGTCTGTACCGCAGGCGGTACTTCTCACCGCCGAGTCATTACAAATGGATGCTTCGCTAATGATGGATTTGTCGCGCATACTTATAACTTTTCGTTTTTCTTTTGAACTACATTCATGTAATTATGCCAATAAATATGACTCCGTGTGTCATCTTTGCTGTCATGAGAAATTGATCTAAGGAGGACTGCAAAATGTGCATCATAGGGGCACTGCAAAGTGTGCACCACAGGAGCACAGCAAAATGTGCATCACAGGAGCACTGCAAAATGTGCATCACAGGGGCACTGCAAAATGTGCATCACAGGAGCACAGTAAAATGTGCATCACAGGAGCACTGCAAGATGTGCTTCACAGGAGCACTGCAAAATGTGCACCACAGGGGCACTGCAAAATGTGCATCACAAGAGCACTGCAAAATGTTCAAGACAGGATTATAACATGTACTCGAGTATTGATGAGGTTTAATGTCCTGTTGCATCCAACACCAATAATACACTATCTTGAAATTGATATATGTAAATTATCATAAAACATCAAGCATGCTTTTTTGCAGGAATCTGATATTTTAGCATTATTTAATCTCAAGCGTATTTAATATCTAATCTGTATGTTGGCAGTAACATTCCTTTATGTTAGGCGAAGCTGTTTGTATAACCCGTGTTATTTTGTTACAGCATATGATAAAAGTCCTCGGTGTTTTTAATGAGATGTAAACAGATCTTAAGGACATACATCTAGTTTCTTTAAGTGAAACACACCCAGTCACCTCCCCACCTGGTGTAGATTTCAATGATTATCGAAAACATGTTCCTATTTTCCTTCTAAACGATTGATCAGTTCAACGAGTGAAGCATGTCATTATACTCTCGTTTACTTATGTAATTATTCATCAGACATCATTACTCAACTCAGAATTTAATTCATTTTGAATGTTCTGTTTATCACTGATTCAATCTTAATTTCCATTTTTCAATTTGTGACGTAATTACGTTTGCCAGCTCAGACGTTTATGTTAACGCATCGTTATAGAAAATCACCAAGGTAAAGCGAAAATTATCACTCGCCGGAAGCTGTTTCTTACCAGTAAATTACGAGGAAATGAAACCTGTACTAGACAGTTCCCTCAGAAGTGAAATCCGTCAAGCTGTCTTTATCCTAGAGGTATTGGCAGAATGACCAAAGGTCATCTCGCAATCTAAGGTTTAATGATCATGATACTCAAGAGGATGCGAGATATGAGAGGAAAACACTTATGTTACACCTGAAACCACCGCAATCAGATAAAGGAGCGAAGAATGTCAGGAACCGCCAAAATAAAACAAAATGGTTACCAGTAACCGGAATGTAAACAACATTTGTTTACTATACAATATTTCTAGCTACTATTTGTCAGGATCCTTACAAATAAAGCACACATTGTGTACTGACCACATCTCCGGACATAGGTCAAGATCACTTCATGTATAAGTAGGATTAAGGCCGAGCGATCGACTAAGAAAGAACCCACTGGGTGATTACCGTCTTAAATCGAAATTCCGGCTTGCTGCGTATATAGCCGGATACACAATCAACCCAGGACGAAACCGGAAGTGGCACGTTCCTGTCGCTTTCTAGTGTGATTCTAAAATGTCAACAATGAATCTTCATTTTCGTGATGATACGGGATAAGTGGGAAAACATTGTGTAAAATAACAGGTCCGTAATAACGCTCACTGTGATGTCTGTAGTCATGTGTCCTCACTGTGATGTCTGTAGCATTGTGTCCTTACCCTGATGTCTGTAGTGTCCTTACCCTGATGTCTGTAGTATTATGTCCTTACCCTGATGTCTGTAGTTATGTGTCCTTATCCTGATGTCTGTAGTAATGTGTCCTTACCCTGATGTCTGTAGTAATGTCATTACCCTGATGTCTGTAGTTATGTGTCCTAAACCTGATGTCTGTAGTAATGTCCTTACCCTGATGTCTGTAGTTATGTGTCCTTACCCTGATGTCTGTAGTAATGTGTCCTTACTCTGATGTCTGTAGTAATGTGTCCTTACCCTGATGTCTGTAGTTATGTGTCCTTACCCTGATGTCTGTAGTTGTGTCCTTACCCTGATGTCTGTAGTTATGTGTCCTTACCCTGATGTCTGTAGTAATGTCCTTATCCTGATGTCTGTAGTTATGTGTCCTTATCCTGATGTCTGTAGTTATGTGTCCTTACCCTGATGTCTGTAATGTCTCCTTACCCTGATGTTTGTAGTTATGTGTCCTTACCCTGATGTCTGTAGTATTGCCCTTATCCTGATGTCTGTAGTAATGTGTCCTTACCCTGATGTCTGTAGTAATGTGTCCTTATCCTGATGTCTGTAATTATGTGTCCTTACCCTGATGTCTGTAGTTATGTGTCCTTACCCTGATGTCTGTAGTAATGTGTCCTTACCCTGATGTCTGTAGTAATGTCTCCTTACCCTGATGTTTGTAGTTATATGTCCTTACCCTGATGTCTGTAGTTATGTGTCCTTACCCTGATGTCTGTATGTATTCGATTTGATGTCAAGTTTGACTTTTTGACCTCTTTATAAAGGGAGACGTTTTCACTTGAAGACCTTTCTCATAAAAAAATACTAGTGATCATTGTGAATAAGTTTTCTTCATTTTTTTTATTTTGCTATAAAATGTCAGTACAAAAATTCATAAATTGAACAACATGAAAAAAATGGAAGCAGTAATATATTGATGCTGTATCCGTAACAATTTGTATTATTATTTGCATTGCATGACTTGGACTCGGACACAAGGGTAAAGGTCGTTTACAACTCATTGTTGCCAAGATATTATACTTGAAATATCTTAGTGACTTATCGTTTGAAATTTAGAACATACATATACAAAAGTCGTCAATATGATTGCGGAGATCATTTTCAAATGCATAAAAATTGGGTTGAAAAATGCCGAATGCGTTTGTACAAGCTTTCAATATCTTGAAGTATTTCTTGAAAGTTCAACCCTACCCAGGTGTAAATATGTATAGGCCACATATACGCTTTCGTAATATCACACACAAACACGTATTACTCTTCGGTCACGTGACCCGCACGTACACTAACAAGACACGTTCAGCTAAATTAGTTTTAAAATTATCAACACTTTAAAACATTAACAGTAGTTATGACAAGGATAAGGCTTCATTTAGCTGAAAAAAAAACTGAACACGTTTAAAAACTTTAACAAAACATGGTTATTACGAACTATGTTACTAATGGCTCAAGCGTGCAATTGACAAATAGCATAAACATTCATGAAACCAGGACTACTAATTACGAATAAGGCGCCACCTATGACTAAATTCCATTAAAATAGCACGACACTAGAACGATGACATACCAATTCGATTTCATTGCAACATACAACAAAAATAATACTGGCTGAGGAACACTTCCCGCATTCTCCCGTCAAATAAATACATTAAAATTGAAATAAACTGTTTGTGTACTCAAAATCAAACCGTCCAGCAGTACATAAGCACGTCAAACATCAAGTGGAAAACGTCCAGAACATTGTTTACAAGGTCTGGTTTTTTATGAAAAAATGAGGAAATTCCCAAATTTCATAAGAAATCAAGAACTTTGTTTTTCCTTCTCATTCCAATCTCGGCTTCCAGTAGATCTATTTTCCTAAAGTTTGATCTAGAGGGAAATTAGTGTCGGAGAATTCACATTTTCCGAGCTACTTTCACTGGTAGTTCTATTGGCCTCTGTGCCACAACTAGATGTGGGGCCGTTAGTGATGGGAGTTAATCCCGTATGGTCAACCATGCTATCCATGGCAAAGTAAAAGCCGTTAGAGGGCGTTGTAATCGGAATTCCAGTAGCACTGGTAACGGTAACCTTCTTTCGGTCCTCCGTTTTGATGTCCAGAGAGCTTGGTCTCATGCCAGTGGTGCTTGTTGTCGTACCCTTGCCCATGGGACACGTAGTGGACCTACCGTCCACGCCCGGTTCCTTCTTTATCTTAACCTTTGATGGCATTGTAATGGATGGGGATGCGTTCTGGTGCTGTTGTGTTCGTTCCTCCAGTTTGCAGAGAGGCTGATGGGCTTGCAAGATAAATTCGAGTTGGTCTTTCTGCTGCTGAAGTTGCTGGATCTCTGATTCAAGGTCGTCCCTTTCACTTTCCAACTGGTCGGTTTCCTGCAATGTTAGAAACAATTAAGGTGAATTACAGATACAGAATTAAACAACATAAGTAAAAGATTTACCGCGTGCAGATGAAGTGTGTAAGTAATGTGTTACAACTAGACATCGGAAAAAATAAGTCTATTTATATATATAAAAAAAATACAGAAGTTGAACTAACAACTTACCCCTGTGAGGCGGTTGGTATGATCAACTCGTCTTTGTCTACATTTGGCAGCAGCCACTTTGTTGCGTTCTCGTCGGACTCGCCGTCTCTCTTCCTCTTCAGGAGAAAGCTGGAAAATACAAACAAGGAATCTGTAAATATTTGTAACATAACGTCACACGAGACCAATGAGTTTATACTTATATGTACACACATTCATACAATATCAATGAAAGTTATTTCAGAAATGTGAGGATAATTGTCAATCGATCAACTATCTTCATACATTTCTGAAGGCTCAATTTCCAATATGTCACAGAGTATCAATTATTACAGACAGGTCAGATTACCATAGATAGGAAAATGACCTCTGGCTATCCCGTGATTGATGGGTGCAAATATGATGACAGGCTAAATTATTTTTTCCTGCCCAAAGGTTTTTTCATTTTCAAGACTTTTTATCCAAGTTACACATGAATGCCCGGAGTCATTGATTGCAGTTTGGTTGTGTACCTGAGCGAGGTTAAGTCTCCCAAAGATGTTATCTACCACACACCATTACCTGTGCATACGCCCGGTTGCACACTGTCTTTCATATCCTATGTCACTCTTAACACTTGAAAACGTATTACCGGAAAAGAAATATATATGCTATTATTTTTATCGTATGTGTAATAGAGTTTACCTTGGGCTATGCGGCACCTGGAACAATTAATTATCTTTTCACCACGGTTTGTGGTGGTGTTGTAAATCAATTAACACATTTCAACTTACTTTGACATCCCTTGCCCCACGCCTTTTGCGACCCGGGGGGACGGAGGTAGTGACCTGAGAGTACATCGGATCACTGGTCTTGCTGGCACTGGATCCGTCAGACAATTCAATCCTTGACCGCTTTGCTACTGGAACCCACTCAGGATCGGAGGCTGAGTTACTGTCTCCGTAGTCTCCGTAGGCGTCGTTTGACCGTTCTGACGTCACAGGGTCAACGATAGGGGGTACGAATCCACTCTGGGTGTGGGGGTCCTGGCCTGTGGACGCATTGACCGCGGGGACGGCCTGTAGTTCGATGAACGTGCGCTCAATGTTGGCTAGGGTGGTGGGGGTAAGGCTAGGCATAGAGGTGATTCCACTGACGAAAGAGTTCGACGGCACAGAATACTACAACAAAGAAAAACAAATTTATAATTAAATGATTAATCAACATCTAAAACCACGAAGAAAGTTTGAACAATGAGTTAGGAACGTTACATCAGTTTTAATGAAAAATACAAATGTTCCAATTTAAAATAATTGGACTTGATTATGTTCATGTTCCAATAATTGTTTTGATATATATATATATTTCTAATACTACCAAATGAAACAAGTTTTTCTCTCATTGCAAAACTTTTTGAAACTTTTCAAAAGTTTTCAAGTTTTTCATTAGTTTATACCAGAGTAATAAAACGATGATATTAATAAATATAACACTGTGTGTTTGTGTAAGTACACTTTGTGTCACTGAAGTACATACCGGCGACGGCCTGTGATTGTGAGCATGATATTGATGCATTTGATGGTGAGGGTTTCTGTTGTAATACGAATTATGATTATAATGCCACATGTTGCACACTAGCTTATCCAAACACGATATAACTTTATCCAAACAAGAGATAAATTTATCCAAACACGAGATAAATTTATCCAAACACGCCGGTCGACCTGTCCTGACCTTTCTATAATCCAGGAAAATACTGTTATCGCTTAAACACATTCATTCACACACAAATGCAGTGACAAAATGCTAAGGATATAAGTTCACACTTGTATTTGTATGCCTCATGTCACATGTATTTCGATACGCCGCGCATGCGTCAAAGGTCATGACCCTTGATCGTTCTGGTTGGCTGTTCAAGTAACTGGTCTTTGTTATACATGCCGCGACCGGCTTTATTCATGTGCTTGGTGTATAAATGGGTCATGTGGGTTTTTATAACAAGGAGACCAACAATTATGTCAATAAGCAGCAACAATGAGAACGCCTTTATTTGAAAATGAAAAACAGGCAGAATAAACAAACTAAATAAAACAAAATAATTGTTAAAGCAGACTTGACGATAATATAACTTACTGAGCTATTTACTGACGCAGCACTCGCCATGGACGACAAAATGTCCGCCACGTATTTTGATTCCTCGCTGTAATTTTCTCCCTTTTCAAACATTCTGGTAAAAAACCTCCAACAATAATATCGTTCACGTCGAGTCACCTGTCAAATACTTGGGATGACAGTCACTTTTCTAGTCAGTAGGTGTACAGTAAGGCTATTGTTGGCTTCCGGAGGTCTGGGACCTAGGCTTCCCTAGTATGACTCACTCGTGGTTCAAAGAATGTTAGCAGGAATATACCCACTACAACTTATATACATGGTGATTCAATGATCGAGAGCTAAGTATGACTCACTCCGCTATTTTTAGCCAAGTGACATCATATTCTATCTTCAGATTAGGTCTTAGTGTATTGCAATGATAATTCTAGAGGATTTTCAAATGGAAATTCATTCGGAAAATGTCACATGACACATCCAAATAAGGAATCACCTTGACGGCGAGTGACGTCAATGCTAATGTTTATTAAGTTGTTTACGCACACATGGCCTAACAATACCACATACGTATATGTGTGTATTCAGCCGTAGCCAGATAAACAAGACAAAATATAGAACTCGCCATAGAAGAAGCGTGTTCGTTTTAGGAATGTACTATATACGGTTTTAAATGATGACTAATATTTTGGGGAACACTATGTACAGATTGACTGACCTGAATGTGTAACCCGTTGAACATGCAAATGAGGTACCATTTCGGCGGTTAAACTTTTATGGGCCCATTAAATATCCTCAAACAAGTTTATTTGATAAATTATATCTAAACTAAAGTTAAGCTGGTCTGCATTTGTTCAGATACAACCCTAATTTTTGTTTGTGTAACTGCTATGATACAGATGATGAATTTTCGGAGTACATTGTGTTTGTGTAGCTACAATGATACAGATGAGGGAGTTTTGGAGTACATTGTGTTTATGTGTGTATCTACTTTGGTACATAAAACACGACATACTTAGATGTATATTTCGAGTTATATATATAGATTCATGACCAAAACCGTATTAGAGTAGGAACTAAACACTAAACCATGTGAAGTTATAAAAAGACTGCGACCATTTAGAAAGTATATGCATACGTAGCCCGAATCAATAACTTTGGGTATAAGGTGTTCTGGGTCTCCTGAAAAATTACTTGGGTTTCGTCCTTGTTTATACAAGGTTCGTTTTATTGTTATAAACACTTACATACTGGGCAAATCAATGATAGGAATGGTTCATGATTAATTGATTTTCAACGATTGAAAATAAAAAAAAAAATTTTAATTGTCCGGGGGAGGGGGGAGGGGTGTACTGGAATTGTTCATCTTCCTTGAAGTATTATTACATTATTACTGCCTGCTATGTGTTGTCCTTGTTCAGCTTAAATTGTTTGAATGGCCTAGATTTTACACCTTACTCTACTGACTATATATCCCGGGGCATTTTCCATACCTGGATCACAATGCTCACCGGGACAAGTAGGTCAGATAAAAATAGATTAGCTCTATTCAAATTAAGTAGGAGTACACCGGCATTGCACTGGTACGTGATATTGTAAATGCGGGGTTACATAACAGATCGTGTTTGGAAACAGTTTTTTTCTCCAACTTCCAAATATTTCGTAATTTTTAAGATTTCGAAATCAATATTTGTAAACAGCTGAGTTTTACGTGTGATTATAGATATAGATTTATAACTAACACTAGCATTTTCAAACAGGAAGTATTGTTATTTGAAAAAGACAGTTGGACTGAATTTGGAAATTGACCTCTTAATAATTGGTTCAATATAGGAGGTTCGTTTGATGTACGTGTAGAACATTCGGACAGTGACTTGCTGAAAAGTTAACTGGGTAGTTAACATGTATTGTCATCCCTCGTCCGATTTAATTAACAACAGTGAATTTCGTCTCTATCAAATAAACCATAAAAAGGAAGGAAATTGTTACATTTGAAAATGATTTCCGTTGGGTTGAAAAACTATATTTTTATGCTCCTACATATAAATATGATAACCAGGAGCATATATATTGTACATTGTTTCGTTATCAAACATGACTACCCATGGTCGTCTTTCTGTCATAATTTCGTTTCCGCTCATTTTCTCTAGAAGGGATACAGATAAAAAAAACTGTAATATTGAATGTACACGAAGTTGTATATAAATATGCAGGTCATGCCATGATTTGGTTGTGGTAATTATTTCTTTAGTTAAGGCAACATAATTTTCAGAATATAGATTAATATTTTCACCAAAGAGGTGGAGTGTCTTATTGCCTATTTAAGGAGAGAAAACAATCACATGAATTAATTAAATTAACAATATCTGGGATGCAAAGTGACTTCTCCTAAATTGGTAACTTATATAGACCAGTATCCCTGGTCATCCAATATCGGACACATTCTGAGAAATCACGAGTACACGTTTTAACCAACCAAATAACACTTAAAAGGCGAGGGTATTCCTATCTGGTATCTGATCTTAATATGTTTATAGTCATAATTTCTACTTTAACTCTGTTCACAAAGATTTGCTTATCAAATGCAGATTATCTTCCATGAAAGTTTTTTCCAAGTAGACAATTCCCCATTGGTTAATTACAAAGTGTTGAATCTATTGGTCTTACATATACTGTATTCTATTGATTTTATATAAATTTTATTCTATCTTATGTTTATTTATCTTATGTATGTTGTATTCCATTTATCTTATGTATGCTGTATTCCATTTATCTTATGTATGTTGTATTCCATTTATCTTATGTATGTTGTATTCCATTTATCTTATGTATGCTGTATTCTATTTATCTTATATATACTGTATTCTATTGGTTTTACATTAATTCTATTCTATCTTATGTTAATTTTATTCTATTCTTTTTATTTTATGTATGCTGTGTTCTAATTATCTTGTGTATGCTGTGTCTTATTTATATGTTTTTTTCTATCTCATGTAAATTCTATTCTATTTTCTTATGTATGTTGTATTCTATTTATTTTATGTCTAATTTTATTCTATCTTATATATACTGTATTCTATTGGTTTTACATTAATTCTATTCTATCTTATGTTAATTTTATTTATTCTTTTTATTTTATGTATGCTGTGTTCTAATTATCTTGTGTATGCTGTTCTTATTTATATGTTTTTTTCTATCTCATGTAAATTTATATATGTATGTTGTATTCTATTTATTTTATGTCAATTTTATTCTATCTTATGCGATTCTATTTATCTTATGTATACTGTATTCTATTGATTTTATATAAGTTTTTTCTATCTATTTGATGTATACTATATTCCTACGATATCCCCAAGTATATATATATATATCTAAGTACGTAACATAAGAAACTGTTTCGTTAGCGTTGTTTTTTCCTTTTAAAACGATACCATGGTTGTTCTGTTCGTAAGTTCATTCGTTTGATACAGTTTTTGGAGTTTGTTTTTAAAGAATAAATTAAAGATTAAAACATTCAAGAAAACTTCACGTAAAAGTGCATTAATATTCCCCGTTTGTATCGTGAGGGTTTCAATTCTCAAAAAAACAACAGTAGTTTACTTCGTCGAGGCTGGGCTGGGGATATATATTGACTTACTTCTAGTCTTTCGCCATTGCAGACTTTTCATGGCAACAATATTATCGATCTGGTTACTCACTACTTGCACGATATAAAATTCTTTTCATTTTTATTGATTTTTATTAATTTGGTCATTTTTTCTTTTTTTTCTATAAATTTTAAGTTCAACAAACAGACTGATTGAAGGGTAACTTTTTTCATAATTGCAAATACTATTTACATGTACTATATTAACATATCTAATTCACTATTAAACCTGAACATATTTGTACTTAGTATATACATTGAAATATCTATATATCTATATATATATAACGAGGAAGCTATCTTCTTTACCGTGTTTTTAACTTGTTTTTTATAGCTTCCCTTCCTATAACCGACTACGTCACTTACGCCGTCGGAACACCTCGAGCTATTGCTGTACAAACAAATGTCAATTTCATGCGATTTGACGTCATCATTGGTCGCTTTGCCTTTAGTAAGTATTGCCGAATCTATTCCAGAAATATCCCAAACATTTGTCACTTCCTGATTCAAGGAGTTTATTTTTTCGTCAAGTCATCTATAAGAGCATGTCAGTATATCAGATATCAAAGTAAGACGTATCTCTATTTATCAATTATATAATGTTATCGTAATGATGAGTTAATAAAATATAACGTGTCGGCGTTCTCACCCACCTTGTATCGATGGTTTTAATTAGATCACGTCTAGATCTGCTTTCATTACTGACCTGACTGTATCTATTTTATTATGTTGCAATAAACGAGATACATTTTCTCTGTGGATGCCCTATATACAACGATGTTCATATTTCACTCTTCGAAAAAGCCTGTACGTTATGCAACGAATTTACACTTTTAGTGATAAAGATAATTTTTGTGTATTTTATAAACTGAAGAAACTCAATATCTTTTAACAAAATCAATTTATCTTATGATGAGGCGTAAACATTCTGTTTTGTAATGTAGTTTTTAAATATAACGTAAGATACGTTTTTTTATTTTGATAACCATGACTTTTTAACAGTGTCTCGTTAGCCGAGTCCGACTGGACATGATTATGTTTGGCAATATTTTAATGTGTTTTATTGTAAACTTCGATGTTTGCCGCGCTAATAAGATATTATTGTAATGTGTTGTTAGGTTTTAAGAGTTTGAATTTTAGGTTGTTTACAAGAACATCCTTAATTTTGTAGTGATATTTTAGTAAATAATGATGTATTGAAGCTTGGTGATCATACATTTTATTTGTTTTTATCTAACCACACCAAGTTATTGAGCACTGGTTGAACACATGCCAACAAAACCTTGTAATAAAACTTATACATCTTTCAGTAAAATCCAGAATTATTATTATATTATTTTTTTCATATTTCATCAATACTGTAAGTCACGACACATATCATACTGTGTTTTAATAACATACATTGATTTACAATGTTGTTTAATAGCACAAATACGACATAGTTTGTTGCTATGATACAAATATCTGTAATATAAAGTATACAACCACCTAGTTCTTTTTTCAAAACTGTCGAGTAAAGTTTGTGTCTAACTTGGCGGAATTGAACAAGACTATAAATTTTGTGTTTTATATATGACAATAGTTTATGTATAAATTCTCCCTAAATAAGTATCAAGTAATGTTTAAGGAAGGATATAGATAATGTACATGCTTGCTGAATTTGTTTATTGGTTTCATGGGACAAAATTTTAGCGCCCTTTCATCGTTTTATTTCTTAGATTTAGTTGAATCTAAATAAACGTGAACGGTTAAAGGATAGGAGTCCCTTTTAGGAACACAATTGCTACCTGACGGGCTGTTTTGCTGATGCTGAGATGAACAAGACTGTGTTTGAGAATTTGATCACGACAGCAATATTCAAAGAGATCAAATTTCAGTTTTATTCCTTATTTGGTAGATTTTTCAACTGATTGGATGGATATAATTTACAATTTATCTCTCGAAATGTTCATTTAAAGATTACATTCAATCTGATAAAAACATCATCATCATCATAGTGTCGGCGTCTATTGTCACCAGGGAGAGTGAAGAAATGGTGGGTCTATTGTCACCAGGGAGGGTGAAGGAATGGTAGGTCTGTCGTCACCAGGGAGAGTGAAGGAATGGTAGGTCTATTGTTACCAGGGACAGTGAAGGAATGGTGGATCTATTGTCACCAGGGAGAGTGAAGGAATGGTGGGTCTATTGTCACCAGGGAGGGTGAAGGAATAGTGGATCTATTGTCACCAGGGAGAGTGAAGAAATGGTGGGTCTATTGTCACCAGGGAGGGTGAAGGAATGGTAGGTCTGTCGTCACCAGGGAGAGTGAAGGAATGGTAGGTCTATTGTTACCAGGGACAGTGAAGGAATGGTGGATCTATTGTCACCAGGGAGGGTGAAGGAATGGTGGATCTATTGTCACCAGGGAGGGTAAAGGAATGGTATGGTAGGTCTATTGTCACCAGGGAGAGTGAAGGAATGGTGGGTCTGTCGTCACCAGGGAGAGTGAAGGAATAGTGGATCTATTGTCACCAGGGAGAGTGAAGGAATGGTGGGTCTGTCGTCACCAGGGAGAGTGAAGGAATGGTAGGTCTATTGTTACCAGGAAGGGTGAGGGAAAGGTTCATGTCTATTTTCACCAGGAAGGTTGAAGGAACCAGGGAGAGTGAAGGGTTCACCAGGGAGATGAAGGAATGGTAGGTCTATTGTTACCAGGAAGGGTGAGGGAAAGGTTCATGTCTATTTTCACCAGGAAGGTTGAAGGAACGGTTCAGAGAGAGAGAGAGAGAGAGAGAGAGAGAGAGAGAGAGAGAGAGAGAGAGAGAGAGAGAGAGAGAGAGGGGGGGGGGAGGTGAGGGAAGGGGTCGTGTCGACTTTTGTTACCAGGAAGGGTGAGGGAAGGGGTCATGGCGATTGTTGTTACCAGGAAGGGTGAGGGAAGGGGTCATGGCGATTGTCATCAGAAGGGGTGAGAGAAGGGATTGTGTCGATTGTTGTCACCAGGAAATTAGAAATGCCTCATGCACAGTTACAAAAGAATACACGTGGAAATGGTATAGAAGATCTATGTATACATAACCATCGTCTTACATGCGAAACAGTCCATTTAAAACCTTGTACAAGACATCAATATTTTGAAACGCAAAAGGCTACAGGATAAAAATAAATCTGACGAAACATGGTTTTCACATAAATCCCACTAAACGTAAACAAAAATAAGATACGCGACAAAGAACGTATGGTACACATACATCTGTTTACGATGTTTACGGATGTGTGTTGATATTTCGCCAAATGCGCAATGAGCTGTTAATAAAAACTATATTCTGAGCATCATACGGAGAAAAACGAACCATTACTTTGTCATAATGCAATAACTGTGATGAAATAACTTATTTTACTAACACAAGATAGAAATTACTGGTCTCTAGTTATGTTACACGTCACTCTTGTGGTCATACATGTTTGTACTTTATAACGTACCAAGAAGGTTAGTGTATGGTAACAGTGTCTACAATCTTGGCTTCATTCTGTTGTCTATTTTGTTCCAAGATTATTTTTGTACTGTTCGGATGCTTAACATGTTGTGGCATGTCTAAGGAAATACTGATGTCTAATGGTCCGTATTATTCTGTCCCCATCTTCCACTTCACAACAATCTATATCCCTTTTCACCACTTACCTCCCCCCTCCCCCATATTCATTCGGCAGCTCCCCCTTCTCCATCCCCAACCTAGTCGGTAAGCCCCACTCTTCAACCCATCATACGTTACTTTTTCTTTCCCAAAGCCACAACCCCCAATACCCCCATCCAATCCCCACCTTGAATGTCATTACCTTCAATATTACATTCACTCCCATTCTCTCTACTCTCTCCTACTCAGTCCCCACCTGGAAACCCATTACCTCCACTTCCCGTTACCCCGTCCCTACCCAGCAAACCTTTTGCCTTACTTTTTACATACGCAGCAACTCCAGCTTACTTTCAGTTTTCACAAAATTCTTTAAAGTCGTTTATGTAATTGCAGATGTATGTAAACTCCCTGGTTTTTGTAAAGTTACGCCCACCACCACCTATCCGGTACACGGGTTTCCGTAAGAATGTCGTAATCTAGGCGTGTCTGTGTAATCCCATTACACATGGGCGTTACGCTGTGTCTATTTCACAGCATTATTGTATTATTATCAATGAATGCAGCATGTGGCGAATGACGATTTAAATCTATAGTAACACTTGCTGTATCAGACGACTCTCGGAGTATTGATTAAAACTCCAATGCTTACGAACCTTTTGACACATACATGCATATTTGATAACAATTGTTATTGTTTAAACGCTTTAATCGCGTGTTATCATTTTCACTTTTCAAAATAATTACAAAAAAATGTTTCTACTCCACTTCACATTTAGCATAATATCATTCCTGACAGGAGCATCAGGGCACATTTACAAATGTTTGCGCTAATACGAATTTCCAATATAGCAATAGCGGACGTTTGATTATTATAATTTTATAATTAAAATTCTCTCGACTGCAGATTGTCCTGACAGGGCAATCCCCCGTCTGGAGGATTAATTAGATTTTTACTAATCTTGTTTGTGATAGTAAATCAGTAGAATGTAGGACTATCTGACGTCGAATGATATCTGTGATACAGGTAATAATGTAGGACTATCTGACGTCGAATGATATCTCTTAAAGGTTATAATGTAGGACTATCTGACGTCGAATGATATCTCTTAAAGGTTATAATGTAGGACTATCTGACGTCGAATGATATCTCTTAAAGGTTATAATGTAGGACTATCTGACGTCGAATGATATCTCTTAAAGGTTATAATGTAGGACTATTTGACGTCGAATGATATCTGTGATACGGGTTATAATGTAGGACTATTTGACGTCGAATGATATCTGTGATACGGGTTATAATGTAGGACTATCTCACGTCGAATTATATCTCTTAAAGGTTATAATGTCGGACTATCTGACGTCGAATGATATCTGTGGTAAGTGTTATAATGTAGGACTATCTGACGTCGAATGATATCTCTTAAAGGTTATAATGTCGGACTATTTGACGTCGAATGATATCTGTGGTAAGTGTTATAATGCAGGACTATCTGACGTCGAATTATATCTGTGGTGAGTGTTATAATGTAGGACTATCTCACGTCGAATTATATCTCTTAAACGTTATAATGTAGGACTATCTGACGTCGAATGATATCTGTGGTAAGTGTTATAATGCAGGACTATCTGACGTCGAATGATATCTCTTAAAGGTTATAATGTAGGACTATCTGACGTCGAATGATATCTGTGGTAAGTGTTATAATGTAGGACTATCTGACGTCGAATGATATCTCTTAAAGGTTATAATGTAGGACTATCTCACGTCGAATGATATCTGTGATACGGGTTATAATGTAGGACTATCTCACGTCGAATGATATCTGTGATACGGGTT